GACAAAGATGGAAATTTTCTAGAGCTGGGGAAGGAGTTCATTTTAGGCCCAAATGACCATTTTAATAATTTGCTTGTGAACATCAGTCTGAGTGAAATCCAAGTGGCAACGAACATGTACAATAAAAGATGCCTAATGCCCCCCTCTGCCAGTTCACCTATTATCCATCCTTTAATTGCCCTGACAAGTTACTGGGGGATCAGCATCTCACTCAAGGGGCTTATAATTGGAGAACAGATGGATGATGAGATCATTAGAATACTTGGCTGCATGTAAGGGCCATTGGTCACCTATGAAGGTGACATTTTCTGTCCTCTGTCCATTAAAAAGCAAGCATTGTTTTCATTTCTTTTGGGTATATTCCTTGGAGCAGAATAGCAAGGTCATATGACAGGTTTATTTGCAATTCTCCAAGCATTTTCTATACTGATTTCCACAGTGGTTGTACTAGCCTACACTTCCACCAGTAGTGAAGGAGGGTACCTTTCTCCCCATATCCACGCCAGCAGGGGTTGTTAGTAGAGTTCTGAACATAAGCCAGTCTCACTGAAGTTAGTTGGAACCTCAATGTGGTTTTCATTTTATCTCCCTGATGGTTAGGGAGCCTGAGCATATTTTCATATGTCTGCTAGCCATTTGAATCTGTTCTTTTGAAAAGTCTGTTTACCTCCTTTGCCCATTTTTTAACATTTTTTTTTTTTAAACTCTTCCTGGGTTTGAGGCTCTTTATAAATCCCGCATGTTAGTCCCCTATCACTTGTGTAGTGTGCAAAAACGTTCTTCCATTCTGTTGGTTGCTTCTTTGTTAATTGTTTCTTTTGCGGTTCAGAAGCCTTTTTTTTTTTTTTTTTTAATGTAGTCCCATTTGTTCATTTTGGCTTTGCTTTTGGCATCTTTTCTAAAAAGTCTCTGTTCTTGTATCTTGGAGTGTGCTTCCTATGTTTTCCCTTAATAGTTTGAGAAGGGGATCTGTAATCCTGTATTTACCGTAGCACGATCTATAATAACAAAGACATGGAAATAATCCAGATGTGCATCCAAAGAAGAGTGGTTAAAGAAACTGTGGTACATCTACTCCATGGAATATTATTACTCAACTTTTAGGAAGGATGAAATAATTTCTACATTCAACCACATTCTACATTCAACTAGATGGTCCCAACTAAAGACTATTATGCTCAGTGAAATACGTCAATTCCAAAAGAACAAATAACACATGTTCTTTCTATTATAAGGAAACCATCATGTGTGGTCCTTTTTTTTTTTTTTGCTGCATCTCATGTGTTTTGATGTTTTTGATTTGTTTCATTTCTTCCATATACTGTTTTTCTCTTGTCGAATTCATCACTGGCTCATGGATTATAAGAAGGTATCATTTTACCCATGAGCGTTTTGTCACCCATGCGTTGATTACTCAGTGGCACATTTTATCATGGTGCTGATTTTGTTGTTGTTATTGTTCTAATTCATACCAGGTTTTTTTTTTAATCTTATTTCATGGCTTCTCATTTATTGGAATGTATAGTGATGGAGTAATAGAAGTTATCCTATCCAGATGTGGGGATACAATGCAATATGCATTCCTGCTTCCAAATCAAAGATGGAATCCAGTGAAACTGTTGAATGTGTAGACAATGGGATGCTAGACTGTCTGACACTGTACCAGCAATGTTGAGGCACACTTAAATAACAGGCTGATGGAATCATGACTCCTTGTAAGGACTATATTATTGTAGCAATGTGGGGACAATTTGTTGAGGGGTGGGAGTTTGGAGGGGGAAATCCCAGTCTCTATAAAACTGTACCATAAAATTCAAAAATTAAAAATAAAAGTTTAACAACAACAGCAAGAAAAAAAACAAAGTGCTGGTCATCTAGACTACTCTCAAGGAAGTCTGGGGCATGCCCAGTGCTGTGACCTGATCTTGGCCTTGGATTCTTAAGACACACATGGAACCGAGCCCTTGGATGGCAGAGCTCAGCTTCATCTGGTAATGGTGAATTCTCCAGGATGGTTTTATCAGTGGACCAGGACCAAATGATGCTGCTCCTTTTTGGGAAGTGTGGCTGGAAGACAGCCATCTTCTTCACATTGAATGTCTTTTCAACAGCAGGTGAAAAATTAACAAGATTTTTACAGAGTGGTTTCAGGCATAAAGCAATTTGCAATGATCTTTTAAAATGTGACAGTTGTGGGCCTGGTGCAATGGCACAGTGGTTAAGGTCCTCGCCTTGCACGCCCGGGATCCCATATGGGCGCCGGTTCTAATCCCTGCAGCCCTGCTTCCCATCCAGCTCCCTGCCTGTGGCCTGGGAAAGCAGTCGAGGACGGCCCAAAGCTTTGGGACCCTGCACCCGCGTGGGAGACCTGGAAGAGGCTCCTGGCTTTGGATCGGCATAGCATTGGCCATTGTGCTCACCTGGGGAGTGAATCATCGGACGGAAGATCTTCCTTTCTGTCTCTCCTCTCTGTATATCTGCCTTTCCAATAAAAATAAATCTTTAAAAAAAAAGTGACAGTTGCTTCAAAGTTGCATGAGCCATTAGTGCCATTATCAAGACTTAACTGCACCTTGAGTATTAAAGGCATAATTGTTCCTTTGGATGGCACCATCATGTAAGGGACCCACAGCACTGTTGGTCATGCAGGCTATAGCCTCATACTTGTGAGGTTTGGTAAGCAGAAGCCCGATAGCCAATTGTTGGAACCATGGGCGTATATGGTGATTTTTAAAGTCATCCTCAGATAACTCTGAGGGGTCTGCCCAACTTGGACTTATGTGTTTTCCAGCCAGGCTACAGGTCACGGACTGAGGTAAGCTAGGCACAGTGTCTTAGCCAGCCAATGAATAGCTGCTCAAGGGAGTAGGGAGGGGCCTTCATGAAAATTCCTGTTTCTACTCTTATCTAATTCAAACCAGCCCCACAGTCTTCTTTTTCTTCTTTTCAGGTTGCAGAAATGTATTTCATTATTAGAAAGGTCCCCAGCTCCTATCTAGTTATTGATGACATGTACTCAAAACACATGCTCAGAGTTTGGTCCCTGGATCTGTGTTTCCTCATTTGGAAATCACATCTCCAACCAAGGAAGCCAATCCAGGATCGTTTTCTCTTTCCAGCTTGCACGAGCCCCATGTGAACCTGCATGCATGGCTTGGTACTTGCTCTGGAGCTGCTCTGCACCCTGTCCTGGATGACACTGGCCTGTGAGTGCTGCCTGGCGTCTGCTCTTGGCTTCCTGCCTCCCTGGCTGGGCCTTGCCCACTGGGCTGAAGAGTCATTGCCTCCCTCTGTGGCTGTGGTGTCTTTGTCTTAGGCCTGGAAGAGACTCCAGGTTCACAGTTGGTGATCTGTGAACAAGCCCTTCTCCTGGAGTTGCTGGAAAAACCTCTTGAGGTCCTTGGGCTGCTTCATGCAATAACTTCTTCCCCAAGCCTCTTCAAGAGAAAGGATCCTCTCTGGCCATGAAGAAGTCTGGGAAAGTGAGCTGGTGCTGGGACGCCAAGAGGGGAGCAGTGGGAGCTTGTCCCAGTGCCCTGGGCAGAGGGGCAGCATCAGGAAGAGTCACTGCTTTGTGGCAGTCAGAGTGGAAGCAGCACAGCCCAGGGTGGGGTGGGAGTGGTTGGTCAGGTGGGGTGAAACTTGACAGATTGTGGGAACCAGCAGGATAGGGAAAACACAATCGGCAGCATTGTCAGGAGGAGGCCTGCGGGCGGCTTAGGGAGTACTTAACTCTGAAGAGGGAGAAGGAGTGGATTCTGGGGCCTGGTGTGGAGAGAAAACTGGGGCAGAGGGTGGGAGCATGACCCAAGGAAACTGGCTGGCTATGTTGACAGCCCTTGGCTGTGGGCTACAGCCCCATGAGAGTAAGAGCCCCAGCGTGGTGCCCAGCACATGGTAGATGTTCAGTGCAGGCTTGTTACAAGGTGGGAGGTGATGAAGTTTGTCATTTTTAAAAGGTCTATGACTTCATATTGCCTCTTCCTCCCTGGGGGAGGAGTGCACTAGGGGAATGAAGTGGCTCTGCTGACACAGGCCAGGGGCTGTGTGCACAGTAGCACAAAGTCTAGATTCTCTCTTCATCCCCTCCACCTCACCAGCAGGGCTCCCAGTTGGCCTGGGGCTAGACTACAGTGCCCTGCTGTGCTAGCAGAGGCCAGGCCCTGGAAGGGCAGGTGGCTGTAGGAGAATGAGTCATAACCGCCACTCCTTTAGAAAGCCTGAGAAAAAAAAAAAAAAAAAAACAAAAACCAGAGGTTGGTGAGGTAGGTTGGGTGCGCTGCCCAGAAAGTGGAATGGCAGCTGCTCTTGGTTAGGTGGGGTCCCTGGACTTGTGTTTCTCAAACATCTCAGTTGGTTATTCCAGGGTTGGGTTTGATAAAACACAAAATGCATTTTGTCAAGTACTTTCCCCCTTAATTACATGTGTATATTTTAAGGGAAATTCAACCCATGTTTCTGGTTCATTTACATGAAAATCATTAAAATGTTTTCCAAGAGCCAAAAACAAAACAAAATAAAGCAAAACCCAAAACAAACAAACAACAACAAAAAAACCAAACAGGAGGTCACTAGAAAAAGCTGCTGGGTCAAGAAAACACCCCAACATTTTTTTGGCTTCAACATTCTTACACATCTACCAGGAGTGAGGAAAAACAAGGCATGGCCTACATCACAGTGTAGCGAGAACAAGCACAGGTTAGCGTCATCGACTTTAGAGTGCAAATCAGTAACCACATGCAACCCAAACAGCTCAATATTAATGTTGGAGAGCACCTGATGATATTGTTCATAACCAGCAGCTTATTACTCTGAAGTCTATCACAAAAACACTGACTTCATAGTCCTTAAGCTTTTCTATCCTGATGCTAAATTATCCTGCCACAGACCACAGCAGGAAGAAAACTCACTTCTGAAAAGCAAGATCGCTGGAGAAAATTTACAAAAACAGAAATGCACTTCTATACAATTAGCAATGAAAACAACGGAGAATAAGAGGCAAGCTTCTATTTTTTATTATTAAAAAACAAAAACTGCCAACTCATAAGAGAATTCATCAACTCATAAAAAGTCAAATCGTTTAAAAAAATATCTGATACGCTAGGTACACGTGTAATTTGTAAGTAGTTAAGTGTCGGACTTTGGTAGTTAATGCGGCTTTCTCAGGAAAGCCCAGTTCTGCTCTTTCGTCAGGGAGCCTCTTTGTTTTTGAAACTAAAGATGTAACTTGCTGAAATAACACTCTTAATGTTACACCGTAAATTTCACTTCATTAGCATCCACAGTGTTTTTAAGAACTGGAACTTTCTAAGGGCATTTTTATTTTTACGACTTTATTACCCAATGTCTCCTCCCCCAAATGCAAGACTATGCATTTTTCTGTCAAGTATTTCTGCACAATCACATGGCATTTAAAAACAAGTACTGTAGATTATAATCTCTTCTTTTAGATATCAAAGGTTATATGAAAACATGTTCTTCAGTTGACATCTTCACAATTAAGCAACATTTATCTCCAATTGATGGATATTCATATTGTTTAGAATATTTACTATTATAACCAATACTATTAAATATTCTGCTTTATATATGTATGTGATAATTTTTAAAGGAGAAATTCCCAGGAGGATACAGGACACAAAGTGCCGACTTATTTTTGAGCCTTTTGACACATTTTACCAAACTGCCCTTCAAATGATTGCACGAGGTCCAGTCACAGCAATATACAGCCAAGGAGTCTCATTTTCTTCATAGTTCTTGGCAACACAGCAAACTAGTTATTACTCACCCCCTTTATTACTGCAAATTTAACAGATGGAGGGGAGAATAATATTTTATTTTATTGTAGAACACAGGATTTTACCCAAATGTGTTCTGGGCGCTTGCGTCTTCTGCCATGTTTTGAAACGGTTCTGGTCTTCCAGCAGGAGTCTTGAACACTTGCTGCTCCCTCTCTTTCCTACACGTTTTCCTTTCCCAGGCAAGCATGTGAAAGCTGCACATCTTTCCTATGATTTTTTTCCCCCAAGGTAAGTAGTTAGAAATTGCAATTAAAAAGTCACTGTTTTCCTAGGCAGCTTTGTTATTTTAATGTCTTGGTAACAAAACAGAAAACTGGGCCATATTCTGAAAAGAAAAAGGTAGGTACAGATGATAAGCATTGAATGTAATTATCTGAAAAGCCTGTTAAAAAGATTTAAACACAAAAATAAGTTAGGTTTTAGTTTTATGGATCAGAGTGAGGATTCATTGGACACACACTTTTAATAAATTTTCTAGATAATTCTTACACTCACCAGTAATTAAGAATCACTGGATGGAAGCTGTAAGCAAATGCCTAGGCCACTCTGTAGCTAAGCAAGTTACACCACTGGGAGAAAAGCAGCTATTAACTGGTGAGCATTGTAGGCCTGGTTAATGCCAAATTTGTGTTAACTATACCAGTGTGCTAGCACAGTTAACCTATTCTGTTTTTATTTCTCAAGATATGTGGGGAGCATATGTTAGCATGCCAGTAGATGAGGTCTAGGGACCTGCGCATGAGTGTGTGTGGGCCCTAGGCAGGTGGGCAGAGCCTCAGGCCAGCATGCCACACTACCAGAAGACTAGGCTCAGACATCGCACGCTTGCTGCCATGGGGGCTATGGATTGCTCAAGAAAGGGGATATAGGGATGTGTGGGAGGGAGGGCTGATGAGGGAAAATGACTTACAGGTGAAAATGACTTCTGGGGGACTTACACTGACCAGACTACTGCAACTGCAGGTAAGCAAAGGGGCTGAGACTAAGTGGTTTTGAGGAGGGAAATAGGAGGACCTTTCTGGGTCAGACCAATGCCCCACCAATCCCCCAATCTGTGGGGGATTTTTGGGTTTACCCTTGTGCAACTGCAATGCCCACTGATTTGCTCAAGACCTGGGAGTGGTGACAGACTGATCTAGGCATGAGGTTAGAACTTGCCAACACTCATGGGTACTGGGATTGGGAACAGGCCAGGCTGGTCCAGGCTATTGTACCCAGAAGCACACCCAAGAATTGGGTGTGGGGCAGACCAAACTTCAATGTCCAGCAACACACACAAAGGCCAGATCTGGGGTGGAATGTGCTGGGTAGGGGCCTAGCACCTGCAGAAACTTGTGAGATGTGGTTCTGGGAGTGGGCCTGGTGGGGAAACTTGGGGAACTCTCCTAATGTGGTGTAGCTCCCTCTTGGTGAGCATGAGTCAGGGTTGGGTATGGCCAGACCAGGCAAGGCTGCTCCACTTGTTGGAAGGTGTGTGGGGTGTGGGGGAGATCGAGCAAGGCTGGGCCAAACCATAGCACACTGACATGCATAGGAGCCAGGACAGGGTGTGGGCCATTCTGGGCTAGCCTATCACACCTATCAATTTACATGAGAGCTGGGGATGCAGGCAGACTGGGCAGACTTCTGCTGTAGCATCCAATGGCAATGGCCAAGTCAGGAATTGGGCCATGACAAGCTGGGTCAGAGCAGCAACTGGCATGCGCAAGATCTGTGGCTGTGGTAGGGGAGCTAAGGGAATGCCCCTTCTGTGCTGTTCCCACTGGTGAGCACAAGAGTCTGGAATGTGGATGGACCTGGCTGAACATGGGCTACATCTCTCGGCATGTGTGTGGGCATGGTCTAGGGATGTGCCAGGTTGGGCTAGGCTCCAGTGCCTGCTGGTGCTTGTGAAAGCCACAGTAGTTATGAGACCGGATGGGCCAGGTTACGACATGTGGGTGAGAGCTGGGTCTGGGTGTGGGCCAGGCAGAGCTGGGCTTTAGCACTCACCAGTAAGGGCAAGATGGGTGTGGGTTGGTTTGGCAAGAACACAGTACCTGCCGGCAAAGGTGGGAACTGAAAGTAGGCTAAGTTAGGCAAAGCCAAACACCCACTAACGTATGGGAGATCTGTGACCGGAAGATGTTCTGATAGATCTTGGGGAACTCCCCTGGCTGGAGAGCTCGGGACCTGAAGCTGGTCACAGTCCAGTCCTGGCTACAGTACCCAACAGCAAACACAGCACCCATCAGCATACATAGCACCACCAGCACACACAAGACCCCAAGCTAGGAGTGAAGCTGGTGGGGGTGCTGTGAGGGCTCCCCTGCTGGGCCACTGCTCCCACTGGTGAGCATGAGAGCTGGGACTGGGGAGGATTCAGGTGCAATAGTGCCTGGGCAGGGCTACAGCAACTGTAGGCCTGCAGGTGGGCTGAGTTTGGGAGAGGGCTGGACTAGGCCAGATCACTGTATCTGTTGGTGCAAGCAAGGGTCAAGGTAAGTGCTGACTGACTGGAATTTGTTGCAGCATCTGCCACCAAGTGCTAGAACAGGTGGCAAGTCATGTCAGACTGGATTGTAGTACTCCCTGGTGCAAGGTTTAGAATTAGGACTGGGCCTAGTAGGGAGAGTGTAGGCACTCTTCTGCTGGGCTGCAGCTCTACCTGGCTTGAGAACCAGGGTGGGCCGGGCTGAATGAGGCAGCAACACCCATTTGGCATAGGTGTGGACTGGTTCATGGGGTGGGAAGAGTTGAGCTAAGTTGCAACACCCATAGCTGTATATGAGAGACTGACTGGGATGCAGCACTGAATGTAGCTTGCTACACATATTGGCAGGTATAGGAACTGGGACTGGGGGGTGGGTCTGATGCAGGCTATTCAGGGTCACCCCAACTAGGCTGCAGTTCTTACTGGTGTGTTGGCAGCTGGGAGTAGCCCTTTCCCCATCCTTCTTTCTACCCCATACAAGAAAAAGAGGAAGAAAAGGAAAATTGAAGTATTAAACCCATCCATCTTCTCCCATACTGATACTGCAATCCTTCCCACCCTATTTGATGATTCCCGTGAGCTTGCATTCTTGTGAACTATGTGAACAACATCAAAAATAAATTAAAAAAAAAAAAAACACCCCAGCTGTAGACAACTACCTAGGTTGCCTTGTGCCTAGGCAAGTGTCACACTAATGGGAGAAAAGCAGCCAATAACTAGTCAGTCCTGGGCCTGGTTCATGATGGATTTGTATTAACTATACCAGTGTGGCAGCATAGCTGATTAAAAAAAGAAACCGCTTGGTGGATTGGGGCTTTAGAGTCATTTCTCCACTCTCGGTTCCTCAATGCCTTCTCTTACGAAATGAGGTTAAGAATGCTGACCTTGGGCTGTTGTTGTAGCAGGTAAAACTGCTTGGCTCGTGTCTCAGCTACTCCACTTGTGATCCAGGGAAAAGCAGCAGAGGATGGGCCAAATGTTCCGGCCCCTGTCATCCACATGGGAGAGCGGGGAGAAGTTTCCTGGCTTCAGCCTGGTCTAGCCCAGGCTTTTGAGGTCAACTGGATAGTGATCCAGTAGATGGAAGTTTTCTCTCTCTTCTCTGACCTTTCCCCCTTCCTCTCTAACTTTGCCTTTCAAATAAATAAATCATTAAAAAATTTTTTTTGTAATAAAGCAGTCTTTACGGACCTTTGTAAGCCATGGCTTGACTGACACTAGGTGCTCCTCAAGTGTTTCCGAAATTAGCGTGTGAATGAGTGACCTCTACCTCAGTGTTCAGAGGCCTGAACATGCTGGCCTAGAAAAAGGTCCTCAGGACAGTGATTCCCAAGCTGCACAATGGAGAACACACACAAGTGTGGCAAGAGCAGAAATTCTCAATTTGGTCACTTAGAATAAATATCTCCCTTTGAAAATCTGACCAAAGCTATATCTATTAACTTCTTTTAAAACTCTGTACATGCAAAACAACACAATTTCAGAGACTTCACTGAAGGATAGAACACTGAATTCTACCATTTTCGTTCTTTTACTTAAAATGAAGCTGAAAAAGGGGGGTCAGGTGGGAAACAAAGAAAATCACATCTTATACATAAGCTTACATCTACACTGGCCCAGCAGCAGGAAAAGTGTGAGTCATTTCCTGCAAACCAGCATGTGACTGTTAACGCATGCCAAAGCTGTGCCACTTATTGCCATATACTCAGTAACTGTTCTTATAATGAAACAACAAAGCCACTTAACTGACATTCCCTAATTCTCAGAATTTCTCTTTTCTTCATAACTATATTTCTACTAAAAAGCACTTCCTGTAGCTCAGTTCAGTTAAGTTGAAACACTTCATGGGGAAGAGCGTCTGATTAAATGACACTTTCAATAAGCAACATTTATCTCCTGGGTATAGCGTTTTGAAACTAACAGACACATTTCCCAATGGATTGCAAATTCCAGCATTCCTAAGTTTGTGCTACAGTCCACTTGTCCCAACTTGCAAGATCACATTCCAAAGTCACAGTGGCATTTATGCCATGTTAGTCAGCAGCAGACAGTGTATCTTGGTTGTCACTTATTATCACTCGTCCTCATCATGCTGAGGTTCCATAGCTGCTGGGTATTTCCGGTAGGGAGTGCTTCCAACAATCCTTCAGATTTTTTCAACTGTTGCCACAAGACCTACAGGTTTTTTAGGACACCTCATGATATGTTTGACTCTGGATGCCAGGGGAATGTAAAATCTGCTCAATTTGAGGCAACTCTTTATCTAACAAGGTTAATCAAAAGTCATAAAATGTCCAAAAAGAAATTCATGGTTTTCTGAGTTCAACAGTCAATTTCAATTGTATTCTGAGAATTAATAGTAGATTTGGAAAGTTTCTCACCTGCAACCCATCCCATATTTACCATTAACCATTATTTTTGCTTGATGTCGCATTAACCTCAAGCAGATATCCCCTGGTATTACTTTGGCTATAAAGGCTTGCCAAAGAGAAAAAGCTTCATCAATAAAATTCTCACACAGGGGAAGCATATCCAGCTTCTGAAGTAATTCTTGTTCTCATAACCGCTTACTTCCATCTACTAGGGGTCACTTATACACCAACCCGAAGGCAAGGTTAGCATCTATACAACCTCATTCCTTAGCCTTGCCTCACTGCAGGCAGCACTATGTGGAAAACCTGGTACACAGATTACTAACAGTCTCTCCTCCTCAACTTCCCATGGTTTTGTATTACCTACTAGAACATACAGCAACTCAGTTTCATCAATATGACAGTAAATGGCATGAACGGTTGCAGAAAACATCCAGGCTAGCATAAAAGATGTGAGGGGATGGACCAAGCGTTCAGTGTGAAAGGTGGCTGAGGGTGTGTGCGGATACTTACCTTCAGGTTATGGAGGGTTTCTGACCATTCTGTGGACCCTATCTGAGGAATGGCAGTGAGCAGTAAGCTTTTGGCTTTATTGGCATTTTCCTTCAGGGTCTTTAAGACCCGGTCCACTGAAACCTAGAGAAATAATAGTCCAGATTGTTATTGTAGGTCACAATTCTGATGCTTTCATTGAACATTTCTCGGAATCCTAGCTTCCCCAGGGTCTGGATGTCTGTTTCCTCCTCTCATCCCAATTCAGATTCCTTTGCATCCCCAATCCCAAGACAAGGGCATTTGGAGAGGGGACATTTGAGCGGTGAGCAGCTGCCAAAGGCACGGGACAGTGCCCTCCCCAAGCGTAGCTAGACAACCTGCACAACGTCCTGGTGGGGGCCCAGTGAGAAGGCAGCTTTGAGAGAAGTAAGCCGTTATGTCATTAGACATTGAATTGACAAGTATCTGAATCTTGGACTCCCAATCTACTTCCAGAGTGTGCAAGAAACTTACATTGTCTCAAAGCTGCCCAGCCTGGAGATTGTAAATGCAGCGCGAATGGACTATGACAAACCTGTTCTGGCAAACCCAGTTTACCCTAGATTCAATCCTTAATCCAGGTTCTCTATCTATCAAGATGGTCTTTTACCTAAGGGAAAGCCTTACAGTGACATCTCAGAATAGCACAGATGGCTCTTAATGTGTGTGAGAATGTATCTCAGAGGTAGGATGGGTTAACAAGCTCTGCAAGATGTGGCTTTTCCCTCACAGCCACAGAATAGGTCCTACTACACTAGAAAAGCTGTATCACCTTTTTTGTTTTTTTCCAGCTCTAAATGAATGAACAGACTGGGTGTTAATGAACACCAACCAAGCAAAGAAACAAAAAAGGCCATATTACTCATTATATTCTTTCTGGTGGAAAAACAAAAGACTGCTTATTATGCCTGAATTTTATCAAGCCTCTAGATTTAGTTACCAATTTACAGAGAAACACAGGGTGCTGAGAACCCAGTTAAACTAAGGTGATTCCAGTCATTTAGACCTTGGAGGCTCAACAGGCAAATGAATTGGTTTCAGAGAAACCTTGAAAGGAAAAGAGTCACTTTAGGAAATTTAAAGAGAAACTTGAATTTTGCCTGCGTATATTAAGGCATCATTGTTGAGGTATGATTGTGAGCAATGTGATCATGTAACATAGCACATCATGTGTTCACCTATAAAGTCACTGATGAAAAGTACAGACAAAATATGGTTGGCTGTAACAGTTGATACAACAGGGGCTGAAGCAGAATGTTGGACTCATGAAAGTGCATACAACTGTCTGCTTTGGTGTATGACTGAAATCATTTCAAAAAGAAGAGCTGAGGGTTGTGAGTATAAAATTAGTCACCAGAGTACTTGTGATGTTTAGAAGAAACCCAAGCTCCAGAGACATAAGTTACACTTTCTTTTTTTGCTACACTATTAAGAAATCCAGATCTGTCGCACAGTGATGTGTTTAGAAAGAAAAAGCGATTGGCAGCCCAGGAGACAGGGCAGTTCACTGCCGTGGGAACACCAGCAGTGAGCAGTTGCATACCTGCCAAGCCCATGTAAGGGCAGGGTGAAAGTTGACTCATTGAATGCAGGGGACGAAGCATCCGTGAGAGTTACCTTATTTATTTAGTCATTTCTTTACAGCTTTTCTGGGGTGATAACATCTATGTAGAGTAAGACCTCTTTCTTTTTTTCCTGACCTTTTCCTTGTCCCTACTATGGGTCGGCTAAAACATCCCTCTCTACTAACTTCACAATAAAATCTAACTTTCTGTTCCAGGGTTATCCACCTAATCTCACAAGCTGCTTTCTTTAAAAACATTCCCCCGATACTGCTCTTCTGATTCCAGCAAAGCATCCATGAGGACCACCACCAGAGGAGTCAGCACTGTGAGTGTTCTGCATGGATCATTTGGTTTAATTCTCCCAGTAATTCTGTAAGATCTGAGTCACAACTAAACAACCACAGCTTTTACCTTACAGGAGAGTAAACAGAACTAGCATCACAACTCAAACCTGAAGCGGCAAAGGGTTTAGGCAACTTTAAAACCTTGCCATGCCAGGCTGCACATCTGGTTTAAGGCATAAAGACACACATGTGTGATTTAGATAATGCCCTCTTTATCCGTGCCTTACTTATGGCATTAAAAAAAATTATGTACTTGAAAGGCAGAGTCACCGAGAAGGATTCAATCCTCAAATGGTTTCAGTGGCCTTGGTAGGTCAGGTCAAAGCCAAGAGCCAGGCGCGTCTTCCTGGTTTCACAGGGGCCCAGTGATCGGCGCCATCTTCCCTTACTCTTCCACACATATTAGCAAGGAGCTGAATTGGAAATGAAGCAGCCTGGATTTGAACTAGTGTCCAAATGGGATGGCAGTGCTACAGGCTTCAGCTTAACCTGCGTGCTACAGCACTGTCCCTCCCGATGCATGGCATTTACTACTGCTGGTCTTTATGCCTTACCACTTCCACAGAGCTTAGTTCTCTGCTCGGATTAACTGCTCTCCAACTCTTATTTGGACCATGAAAATTAGCAGTTCTGCAAAGAATGAGACATGTTTCTGCACTAGGCAGAGAGCCATCAGCAGGGAGCAAACTACTTTCAGGGAGTGGCAGGGCTGGAGTTTCTTATTAAATGGAAGCCGACTTCTAATTAATCAGTCAACATCATGAGGCTGAGCTGTTCTTCTAGTTACCAAAGCTGCTGAACCAGGTATTACATTGTAACAAAGTCAGGATTTGCAAATCTCTTAGAGAAAACTATGCTACCACTTAGCAACAGTTTATTGCACTGTTAGGATAAAAAAACTCATGACAAAAGAAAAAAAAATGTGTGTTCATTGACAGCAAGCATTTCTCAGACATGGTGGTAAGGGGCTCTTTGGAGGTGCTACCTCCCCTAAATTCTTCCTAACTTCAAAATTCTGTCTCTTGTTTTATGCCTTTCCACTGTTGTAAAGTCAGATGAATGTCATACAAATGAAATGGTTTCTACAGGGGAAATATTAGATTAAAAGAAATGCAAGATTAAAATGCAGTGTGTGTGGAAGCAGGTGTTTAGCATAGTGTTCAGACACCAAGGCATTCACATCTGCAGACTTGGGGGTTTGAGTCCTAGCTCTGGACCCCGATTCCAGCCTTCTGCTAATATGCAGCCTGGGAGGCCCCAGTGATGGCTCCAATAATTGAGTTCCTGCACCAGTATGGGTTAGCTGGATCACGTTTCTGGCTCCCACATCAGCCGTCGCCTTTGTGAGCATGTGGGGAGTGAGCCAGTGGATAGGAGTGCATTGCTCCGTAAGCACACTCTTTCTAAATCTCCATCTCTGCCTGCCAAATAAAATACATAAATAAGCAAAGTACAATGGGATTATATTTGATAAAATTAGAAAGTTAGGAGGCCAGGGATAGATACTGGAGCAGAGCCTGTTGAACTGATGTGTGGGATACACAATCCCATCACTGAGCGTTGGTTTGATTCCTGGATCCGCTGCCCTTGCTAATGCATCCTGGGAAGACTTGACTCCTAGATATCCATGTAGAAAACCTGGATGTTGCTCCAAGTTTTTGGCTTCTGCCCAGACAGCCCTGGGTCTTGAGGGCATTTGACAGTGAACTCCAGGATGGAAACTATCTTTTCTCTCTGACTCTTTCAAATGAATGAATCTTTAAAAAAGAACTAACAAAAAACCAAAATTTTGAGACTAGAGGGAATATGTGACTAGTAGTTGCTTGATTATATTAAGAAAGTAATGTCAGTGTATTTCCAGGACTGTTACGGCTATTTTACATAAATAAGTTTTAAGAAAAATATTTACTTCCAGATGAGGGCAGGGGAGACAGAAGTCGGTAGAGGTACATGTGGCATATGGCAGATATAGAGATAACTGAATCTGTGAGACTGCCTCGTGAGGTTCATCATACTTGGCACTTTGGCTTATGTTTAACATTTTCTATAATGAAAACACTTATTCTGGAAGTCTGTCCTCAAATTCCAGGCACTGCCATCTTCCCTGACTACACCTCAGCCTCAGTGACCCCTGTCTGCAGGCCTTACCAGGGTCTCCACAGCCTTGGGAAGTCTCATCCCGCTCTCTCTATAAGTCATGTCTTTCCCACTTAAGCCAGGAAGGCTTCTCAGTGTCCACATATTTGGTAATAATCAACTGGATAGGTACTCCTGTATTTGAAAACAGTACTTTTTTTTCCAGCCATCGACAGCCTCAACACTGGTTTGCTTAATTGCTACCTCCCCAAACAGAATGCTGACCCCTTCAAGCCTTGTCTGTTTGCAATTATATTCCTATGTCAAGCACAGATGCCCAAAATGTGCTAAATGAACAAATATAAACAGACTCCTTACATACCAGGATGAGGCTGTTTCCCATCGAAAATAAAATATGATAAACAGCAGCACAAGGAAGTTACAGTCCACTTTCATCTTTAAAATAAGGCCTAAGCCTCAATTTGAGTTCTAACATCTACATGTATACAGTGTTGATCCTTAGATGAAAGTATCTTTTTCTTTCCTAGGAAGATCTTTGTTCTTATATTCCAGTGAAAGCTATGGAAACTATCTAATAATATACAACTTGAAAAACTTAAGAAAAGGTACTTTCTGAAACCAATACAATAGGAACACCACGCAGTCTCTTAAGGGTTTGAGGCACTCAAAGACCTGCACCCTAAATGTCGAATAGAGAATTCCACTTACTGCTTCCTCGTGCTCCTTCCAGCAGTCATAATCTGTTGCCATGGCAATACTTGCATAGCAAATACCAGCCTCCTTGGCTAGCACCACCTCTGGAACAGTGGTCATATTGATAACATCTGCTCCCCAGGTGCGGAACATGAAGCTTTCTGCTCGGGAGCTGAAACGAGGTCCCTCGATTGTGATCATTGTTCCCTTTGAGTGGCACCTGAGTCCTAGCTTCTTAGCAGTCTCTATGAGGACCTGGAAAAGAGAGAAACCATAAACTCAAAATATACAAATATACAACTTAGCAATTTATTCATTTCTGATATTTAATTCATTGAAGATGATATTTCACTGTAGTTGCTTAGAATCTACAGAAGGGTGTCTTCTAGATCCTTACTCATTTAGCTCATAACTAAAAGAGCAAACGTTGAGCTTTCCTAAGTACTAGGCATTAGAACCTCATTTACTTCATAATCACTGTAGGAGACTGAGCTGGGTTGCGACTTTGGGCTTCAGTTTTCTCTCAGCCTCAAACTGAGCTCAGATCACACACAAAGTTCTATCATTCAGCTCCTGAAAATCATTCTTGCTGTCTTTCCTTCTCTCTAAGAATCTGCCTTTCCAATAAAAATAAAAAAGTAAATCTTTAAAATAGAGTTAAAGAGCTAGAGATTTTCTATTTGCTGGTTCATTCTTTAAACGGCCTTCATGGCCAGGCCGAATCAAGGAGCCTCACATATCATCTGGGTCTCCTAGATGGGTGGCAGGGACCCAATTCATTGGGTCATCTGCTGCTGCTTTCCCAGCTGCATTAGCAGAGAGCTGGTTTCAAAGTGAAGCAGCAGGGGCCCTGGTGAACTATTTTAGTCCCAGTACCATAGGTAGTGTCTTAACCTGCTGAGCAACAATGCCAACCTCAAGTTTTCTCATATTTATAATGGGAGTAACAACATTGGGTAACACAGGAATTAAGACAATTAAACAAAGTTTTTATTTCCAAATACTAAGGATTATAAATACCAAAATCAATGTCAAATTGTTATTATAAACATTATTAATCCTGGTGGCTTCTACAAAATCTGCAAAGTAATGGGCAAAAGTTTCTTTGATACTATAACTAAGTGAGTGACTCATTGGCTTCAGTCTAGGCCAAGTTTTATTTGCACTTGCATTAACCACACAAGCAAATTTCTAAAAATAGCTACCCTTTGTAAAGACAAATAGGAAGAATTTCTTTTTAACATTCTTCAGATTTTCCACCAGGAATCCAACTGGCCCCATAATGGGATGCTGGTGCCACTACATCACGGCACTGGCTCTGGGAAGAGGAACTTAACAAGAACCTTAACAATTCCATACTTAGAACCATGACAAGCTATGCACAATGAACAGCTGATACATATTTGCGTTATCAATAATGGAAATAAGATCATACTTAATCAAAACTATTCCCTAAAGGGTACAGGTTTAAAATTGAAAGAGCCCAAATCTGCACCTTTTTTTCTCGCTCCTACTACTCTCCAGTTAAGCCATAACCAGCCTAGTCTCTAAGTTCCCGACTCACTGGGCTGTGTGTCGTGGCTACACTGCAGCAGTGCTTCCAGAGATGTGTGCTGTGAGCCACTGCTGATGACAACTGACAGTGATGGGACATGGGGGCCTTTCCACCTGAACCAGTACTTATCACTCCCAAAGAACAGATACCATCAGCTTAAGGTAGCAGAAAATACAAGCCATGTGGGGTCAAACAGCCAGCTTAGGGGCTAAGATGATTTCATTTCCTTATCTTGTGTAATCAAAGAGAAACAACCGAAAGTGCCAGTGCTTCACAAAGGCAGTAGCAGTATTACATCACCAGGTTAAATATACACAATGTCAGGACTTTCATGAGCTTCAGGTTACCTCCAAAAATGACTAGGCATGACAGCACTTTTAGAAGAAGTAATACCTAGATGGCACAAAACCCAAACACTGGAAAAGGTGTGTTATTTTGAAGAATGTCTCTCCTTCGGTGGTAAGAACTTAGTGCCTCAAGTGAAATCATCGTTACCTGTGTTTTGGTTACTTTTCTAAATACTCCATTTGCATATCAATATTCACATATTTATCACCCTGCATCGAGGCAGATTTTAACTTAAATGGTAGAATTATGGTACAACTGCTGGATGGCTAGATCACCACTTGACAAGCCCTTCTCACCAGTACATGAAAGACCCTGTGCATGTTGAAGGCATCTATGATAAATTACCAAATGGCAGCACCGTGAACCAATATGAAGAGTAATATTCTGAAGGCTTATTGTGGCCCTGGAATTCAACTTCCTTCTCTCACATTTTCTCTATGTTCATGTGGGGTTCTTGGCTTGGCTAACACTAACTAATTTGGTTTCGAGGGAGGCTAAAGCATATTAGTAGAAACCATCACAGGGCCACAATGCTATGTGTTCTAGGTAGACTGCTGTGCTTTCCTCACCTCTACATCTTGTCTGCTCAGTCACTGCATTCTGCCTGGCATGAGATCTTAGACTGCATACTAACATAGATATTCTCTCCTTAATCTCTTTCTTCCCAGGCTCACTCCATTTAGAAACAGATAAGAATTTTATCTGCACTTCTTATCATCCTGGATAGTATGTCTATTACCTGGTCGGATGTAAAAACTGCTAGTACCTGGGTATGTTCTATCAGTAAATATCCAGGATTAAACACCATTAATATATTCACATACAAACATGATGTGCCACTGTTTTGCGAGTGAAATGTGTGCTGTCACAGAATTCAGAGTCAGTGTACAGGATCTGAACAGTTCCCTGCAGCCTGCATTTCTGGATCTAGATTTCTACAATGAGCATGAAGTTAAAGCGTCCTTGCTGTTAACTATTCGGACATTGGTTTTTCATGACTGTTCAGGACTTCACATAACAGGTAACAAAAATCATCTGTTTTTCTCTATGTGAGTATTAAAGAGATCTGAATGACTAGTACTTTAGGTATTTATGTGTATTTTGATCTTTACAACTTGGGATTATGATAAAAAAAAAACCCACATCACTTGTAGAACAACTGATGCTTCTTTGATTATTATTTTAAAAATTTGCTTATTTAAAAGTCAGAGTAAAAGGAAGAGAGAATCTTCCATGTGGTAGTTCACTCCCTACATGGCCACAGCAGCCAGGGCTGAACCCTCTGAAGCCAGGAGCCAGACACTTCTGGGTCCCCCACTTGGGTGCTGGGGAATAAGCTCTGGGGCCACCCTCTGCTGCTTTCCGAGGCATCGTCAGGGAGCTGAATAGGAAGTGGAATAGCTGGGAAATGAACTGGCATCCATTGGGATGCTAGCACTGCAGGCAGTGGCTTTACTGGCTAGCACTGGTCCCTGGATCCTTGATTTCTGGTAGCCCTGCCCCGCCAAAGATAGATTGACTGATTTATTTATTGGAAATTCAGGTTTATAGAAAGAAGGAGACAGAAATACCTTCTATCTGCTGGTTCACTCCCCAAGTGGCCACAGCAGCCAGAACTGAGCCGATCGGAAGTCAGGAGCTAGGAGTTTCTTCCTGGTCTCCCATGTGGGTGCAGGGTTCCAAAGCTTTGGGCTCTCCTCGACTGCCTTCCCAGGCCACAGGCAGGGAGGTGGAAGGGAAGCAGAGCAGCTGGGATATGAAGCAGCATCCATGTGGGATCCCAGTGCATGCAAGGTGAGGATTTAGCCACTAGGCTATGGTGCCAGGTTCTCTAGTGGCTATTTTAATCTCTGGGAAATAAGATTGGGATTCAGAACGTTTTTTCCACACCAAGTTTTGTATGCCTGCCCACACAATTCTGAGACTTTTACTGCAATATTGGAAGAGGTTGGACAGTAATAGCCAAATTTAGGTTAAAGGTGAAAGAAGCCAAAATTCAATCTGAAATTTCTGACATTGTCAACAATAATAATTTAACTCATAAAAGCACTGACAGGGACCCGATGTGGTAGCCTACAGGCTAAAGTCCTCACCTTGCATGTGCCAGGATCCCTTCTGGGCACCGATTTGTGTCCTGGCTGCTTCACTTCCCATCCAGCTCCCTGCTGTGGTCTGGGAGAGCAATGGAGGATGGTCCGAAGCCTTGGGACCCTGCACTCACATGGGAGACATAGGAGAAGACTCCTGGCTTTGGATCAGTTCAGCTCTAGCCACTGCGGCCACTTGGGGAGTGCACCAGTGGATGGAAAATCTTTATCAAAAAATTAACAAAACAAAGCACTGACCTATCACTGGATTTTCCCTAATTACATGGTTAAAAGTAGTTTAACTATTCTCACCTCCCACATATCCTTGTAAGGTATGCACTATCAATATATTCTTTATACAAATAGCATCATTGAAGGTCAGAAGTGGTAAACAATTTGGCCTACAACACATAGCCAGAGATCTAATCCTAGGTGATATAGCTCCAGCTTGCAGACTCTCAACTAATAGCCCAGTGCACACTGAATTGTGTTCCAAGCATCCTGACAGAAAAATCAAAGAGTAGGTTACAACTCTGAGTGCTTCAGCTCACAGACAGTTGAGTGCAGCAGAGACATTTCTAGCAAAGGGAAATGATTAAGAAAACCTCATCCTAAAGATGGAATTTGGGGCAGATGAGAGACCACCTGTCCAGCCGATAGATCTAAACCTTGATTCCAGCACAAGCCCTTCTGAGTTTTTCTAGAACACCTTCCAGAAGGACTACAAACCTCTCTTGTTTTGGGACAAAATGGCTCGGCCATTGGAATATGGCAAACTCCTCTGGCACAGGAATGGCTTCCATCATAGAAGGTCTGAGGTCTTGTGGTTGTCCTGTGAATTAAAGTAAAAAGGTTGATGGCTAAAAATACTCATTTTCATTTTATTTGAAAAAAGCATGCACAATACTAACACACACACACACACACACACACACACACACACACACACGAGAAGTCTTCCATCTGGTGGTTTTCTCTGTCAGGGCCAAGCCAGGCTGAAGTCAGGAGCCCACAAGTCAATCTAAACCTCCCAAATGGGTAACAATCATTAAGCTGAATCATGAAGCTGCTGCCCCCTCGAGCGCACATTATCAGGAACCTGGAAAGTGAGTGGGAGAGCTGCATCTCAAACAGCCTCTCCTGCACAGGCTGCAGCATCTTACCTGCCAGACACCTCTACCAAGGTCTTTTTCTTATTTTTTTTTTAAACTGCTTTCCTATTCTCTGGGGACTAGTGGACCAACTTTATTTAGATGAACAGCTCCAGGACGGCTAAAGGTAATGATTTATAAAAAACACCTTCAGGGTGACATTAGGCTTTTCTGGTTCTGATTTGGAGGCATCATGATGCTTATCAGTATTAAAGTGCCAAGTCTGGCAGCCATGACGGGTTGACCACTCGGGGATTGTTAGCTACAGCTTAACTGGGGGCTCAGGGAAGCTGTGAGACACACTCAGTTAACATGGAAATTTTTCAGTCCAGATGTGGAAAACTGTAACAGCATATGCCTGAAAGTTCATGGAGTAACTGGAGTAAAAGATGATTTCTTTTGGTGCCAAAAGTGTGAAATCCATTCACATACTTTATTACATTCATTTATCTATTAAAAAAGTTTTGAAGACGCCCTCCCAATATTCTGCACCATTTATAAACTTATTTTGCATTCCATTTTCTATAAACTTCTTGAAGTATCCTTGTATAAAGAACCTCATCTATTCATCACCTAGATTCAACAATTTCCAGCAGCTGTTAAAGGAGCTGTTTAAAGAAGCTTCGTTTTCTGAGCTGGTTGTAGGTCCTGGAACAAGCGTGCTGGACACTGGCTGCAAAGCCAATGCCATCCGGACGCCCCCGAGGGTATCGGATGATAATGGGAGGTGGAGTCAGTACAATCACTGACAAGTCACAAATCCTGAGAGTGTTCTGGTTGTGGGACAGCGCATTTTCAAGAATGGACTTTCCTTACTTAAAACAGCAAAAAGGAACTTCTACATCATAAAATGGCTTCAGTAAGTAAGAAGAATCATCCTGTTGTTCTGATTCACCCATCTTTCATTCTGGAAGGATAAGAAAGATTGGTTCCAGATATACAGAGAGGAGGAGGACAGACAACAGAGAGGAAGATCTTCCGTCCGATGGTTCACTCCCCAAGTGACCATAACAGTTGGAGCTGAGTCAATCCGAAGCCAGGAACTTTCCTCCGGGTCTCCCACACAGGTCCAGGGTCCTAAAGCTTTGGGCCATCCTTCACTGCATTCCCAGGCCACAGGCAGGAAGATGGATGGCAAGCGGGGCCACTGGGATTAGAACCAGCACCCATATGGGATCCCAGCGTGTTCAAGGCGAGAACTTTTAACTGCTATGCTATCATGCCGGGCCCGGTTCCAGAATTCATACCTTGGCCTTTCCAAGTCAAGAGGCTGGACTGTACACTAGACCTCACAGTTTAAGTAGTCTCATTATTTTTATGAGCTGGTTAATAAAGAATGTGTTGATTTTTTTAAAAAATAAATAAACCTACAAATATGTTAACTTTACATGCCAACCAGAAAACGAACTACTCTGGATGAACTGGGAGGTAACAGTGTCATGCGGGAGGAAGGCAGAGGAGCCAGCGTGCTAGGGAGACGTGAGAGGACTTGAGGCAGCATGCCTGGGTTTGAAGGTCGACAATGCCAGGAACCAAGGAATGTGGGTGGCCAAGGGCAAGGCCATAGACCGTCCCCTGAGCCTCTGCCTGGAACACAGCTGATGAGACTCTTTTTTTTAACCTCAGGGAGATCCACATTGGACTGTAAGCCAATACATTTGTGTTGTTAAAGTCACCATGCTTGTGATAATTTGCTGCATCAGCAAGACATGACACACATGTGTGAGATGTGGTTAATATAACTAAATGCAACTATCTTAACCATAACCATAAGTAAGGTTTCTACAGCAAGGAAGAACTGACGCTGGAGGACTGTCCCCTTGTTTTCGTCTGTCGGGAGTGTAGAGGACCAGCTCTTTATTTGAAAAACACACTTACTGGAGCTGTCTGGCTCTGTGGCATAGCAAGCCAATCTTCAACCTGTGGCAACAGCATCCCATATGGACACTGGTTTTTGTCCTGGACGCTTTACTTCTGATCCAGCTCCCTGCTTATGGCTTGGGAAAGCAGAGAGGGACAGCTCAAGCCCTTGGTCCCTGAAGCCACATGGAGAAACAGAAGAATTCCTGGCTCCTGGTTTGGATTGGCTAGTTCTGCCTGTTGGAGCCATTTATGGAGTGAACCAGCAGCGGGGAAATATCTTTCTCTAACTCTGAATTTTAAGTAAAAATAAGTAAATTGTGACAAAACATCTGACACGGATGCTAGGTGGAATCTTGGCTGCTCCACTTTTGATCCAGCTCCCCACTTATGTGTCTGAGAAGGCAGGGGGCTGGCTCAAGTCCTTGGGCCCCTTCACCCACAGGGGGCACTGGGAGAAGGCTCCTGGATCCTGGTTTCAGACCAGCCCAATCATGGCTATTGTGGCCACTTGGGGAGTAAGTTAGCAGATGGAAGATTTCTCTATCTTATTCTCTGTAAATCTCCTTTTCAAACAAAAATAAATATATCTTAAATGCATACACACAGATTGACTGTCAACAGTCAGTACCGGAACAGTCATGCCATTGTTTACTCCCTCTCTGAACTGGCCCTGGAGTGACCACACAGAGAGTGCACAATAAGCTGAACAGCTGTAGGATGCACACCTAACGGAACTCACAGACACCTTACCCAAAGCAGGTGCTAGGTGGGAAGGAAACTTGCAGACAAGCATACCACCATCACAGCCTGCAAGGCGCTCCCACAGCTAGCTGGGCTTGCCCCCCGGTGTTGCTTCAGTCAGTAAAACCTCCTAGCTAACTCTGCCTCCCTGTTTGCTTCGGATCTCACTGGTAAATGCACTTTAAAAAACAAAACCAACACCACTTACCCAGCCGTGGGCCCTGGGAAATTCCCCTGGATCTCTCTGCAGCCTGCCATTAGTTGCCTCATGTTTAAGATGGGAATAACACAGCACACACGGTGGCTGAATGAGACAATGGTACTTGACCAGAGTAACTACCATTCATGAAAGCTCTGTTGGTGTACGTCTCTTTCTCTCTCTCTTTTTTTAAAGAATTATTTTATTTTCATTGGAAAGCCAGATACACAGAGAGGAGAAAAAGAGAGGAAGACCCCCCGTCTGTCGATTCATTTCCCAAGTGGCTGCAATGGCCAGAGCTGTGCCAATCTGAAGCCAGGAGCCCAAAGCCTCCTCCAGGCCTCCCATGCGGGTGCAGGACGGCTTTAGGCCGTCCATGACTGCTTTCCCAGGCCACAAGCAGAGAGATGGATGGGAAGCTGGACCGCTGGGATTAGAACCGGTGCCCATGTGGGATCCTGGCAGGTTCAAGGTGAGGACGTTAGCCACTAGGCTACTGCGCCGGACCTTGATATGCATCTTTTCTGCCAGCCTCACACGATGCACTGTGATGGGCCTCAAGTCAAGGTTGTCAAGGAGGAGTGTGCTAAGAGCAGTGTATGACAGAACAAACACAACACTGCCCATGAAAGAGTGCAGGAGACAATGTTGGAGAATAAGAGAAATCTGTAAGACAGTCAAGAGAACATCGGGCACTTCCAAAAAGAAAAGAAGAAAAGCCCAGAGACACTGCTGTTCAGTTGCTTGTGGAAACAAGACTCTCAAATTGGCTTCAAGGTAAGCATTCATTACTATTTTCCCTTTCAAGCAAACGGAAAGAAAGCACGTATCTCTCCACCAGAAAAAAACCACGCAGCTACGCACTTCGGTGGTGCTTTCAGAACATGGTCCCTGTGCACAGCAGGCCCCAACATGCAAGCATGCCAAGTCACTGATTTACGGGCAGAGCTTCATTTGCTGCACTCTAGTTTTGAGGAAGTGATTCTACCATGGCCATTTCAATGTACAAGGGCAGAGATGAGAGGAAATTTTGACATGAACAACAATAGAGAAGGAACGGGGACGAGTCTGTCCATCAGCCAGGAGGAAGTGAACAGTTGAGAAACTGGCTCCACTTCATTCCTATCCTCCCACTGCTCTGGTTGCACGAACTTCCCTCACTGCTATGGCACCATAGCGAAGGGGGAAATCCAGCAGGTGCTTATATCCCAGTGAGGTGAAACAGCATGATAAACAAGATTACACAGTTCCCCATTTAATTTTCTATTGATGTTCATGAAATCTTGCTAACCTGCAGGGCAAGAACAAAAATCCTAACTGTTAGATGCTGACGGACATCTCTTTGGGGCTTCAGTGTTCTCACCTGTAAAAGGGAACAATAGGGTATACAGAGGGTGCTTGCTATCATTGGGGTAATTAGCAGTGTCAGAAGTAGAGTAAGAGTTATAAAAGCAAGTACCTTCACAAGTTACTGTGGACACTTTTCCAGGTCAGACATAGAGCCATCAAATCTATTTCACAACATCCCATACAGCAGTTGTTCAGACGACTGCCTTACGCTGCTCACAGAAACAATAAGCACATATCCTGGTAGACATATCTCCCAGAATGTCCTTATTCTTGGGCAAAAGGTTAGTTAGAAAGACGTACACTTATCTGGTTTCAGAACATGGTTGGTGTCCACAATAAGCCCAGTCAGGAATGTTGAATCAATAATTTATTGGCAGAACAGAATGGCTGTGCACAAAGCAGGATGGTTTTGAGGAAGTGATTCTACCAATGTCATTTCAAAGACATTCAGTGTCCAGCAATAACGGCCACGGGCAGAAATGAGACAGAGGAGATTTGAACATAAGGAGCAACGGAGTGGGAAGTAGC